AATAAGCGTAACACCGTAAAATTATCAATGCCAAAACGTAAAGTTATTGAACTGTCAGCTTTTAAAAGTGAAAGTGTTATAAAAAGATAACAACACACCATCACGTTGATGTGATTGTGAGTGAGTTATCATGTTTTGGAAGTATTTTGTTTATCTTTGATATTACAAAACCTTGAAAGAAATTGTGTCTCAGAGATACGAGGAAATCTCATGGAAATCCTCAATGGGTGAATGGAGACGCAATTGGATTGGCTAATCGGTGAGCCCGATCTGCCGCAAATGTGCCTAGTGGAAATCTCAGGCACATTCTAATGTAGATCTTCCTTCTCACTCAATTTGGTGGATTACTTTCATCTCCGCAGCAAGAAACGTGCTCAAATATTTTTGACATAAATACACTATTTTATATCCATATAAGGTCAGTTTTTGTTATAATTATATTTATCAGAAACTTTTTCTTTTATTTCAAGAAAAAAATCCACAACAAGTTCTTATCTAAATAATAGTAGAACAATGTTAACATATCTTAATGCGAATTACGGATTTTCATTATTTAATTAGAATTAACTTAAAAATTGATACAATTGACAATAATGATTAATTAATTAATATTATAGCTGATTAGTTAACTAAGAAAACATTTCTTATATAAATACAAGAAATGTTTTATATTTAAAATAATTATATTTAAATAAGATATATTTAAGAGTTAAAAATAAAATGTTTGTATATAATAAGATTGGTTTTATATACAAAGCAGTTGAGATTAAACTAGTTACACACATTACCAACTTTATTAATGATACACAATAAAAAATAAGCATAACTGAGTAAAATTAAAAAGAGTTAAATCTTTTTTCAATTCCATCAAAAAATTAAACTAATACAACAGTGATACATAGGGTTTAATAACATAGAATTGGCTAAAATAAATCCAACTTCTTCCCTCCTTGTGTTCTATATTTAAATAAACAAAATAACTCCCAAAATATGACATTAATAAAACCTTATAAGACGGAACCGCTCTAAATTGCAATTGCTACCGCTATAAATTCCAATGCCACGTTAACAGCCCAGTTCCACACGGCACGAGAATATTCTGTGAGATTACTAGTAAAATATTATAGACGGAAGCCATTTGAATAGCATCTGTTCTGCATCTTACGCAAAACGAAGCCTAATAAAACATTTACTATGAATTAAATTACATAGACTCATATATACTCATAGGCTTTCAGACTCATATTGTACATTCTAGTGCATCATAAGGATAGAGGAAATACGTAGGTATTTAGGATATGTACGTATGTCGAACTTATCAAGTTAAAGAAATCGAAATGAATATACATATCATATATAGATAGAAATATTTTATAGAGGTAAAGTTTCTAATTTGGTTTGTTTTTGTGGGAAATTTTATTCCTATGTGTTTGTTAAGTATTCCTAAATCTACAACAAGGCTGAATAGCTGCTCTCACAGAAAATTAGGTACTCAATTAATCGACTTTGTTTACCTGGATTTCACTTTTTTTGATGGCAAAAGAATTGCGTTGTGTGAGTTGCATTTTTGTTCATGTTATGTTTTTGATGTGATCTTATTACTTATGTAGGTTCTCCTTTTAATCATATATTATATCTTGAGCGTTACTGTAATTTATGAAGATTCAACTTAGTCCTTGTTTCTTATGTATCGATCATTATACCTGTGACCACCTAAGGATATATTAACGAAGCCCATTTGATACCGTTTGAATTCGTTCATTTTTTGAATTCGCCATTGGTCTTTGGTCCACTCTGTACATAAATATCTATGGTATGCATAATTCAATCCAAATGTAAATAGCTTTTCCGAAGTTTTCCTTTGGTTATTGCTCCCTTATCATAGATTTTAATAACGTATATTTTATTTACTCTTTGGTAAATGTTTTATCACCTAGTGTAAAAAATCTTTGGTTGGTCTTTATAAACAACACATTGATGGATGTTTTCAAAGTGTTCTACAGGTTTATTTATTACAAAATTCTAAAAAACGGGACAAATATTTCATAATGTTAGATTTTTTCTTACTTTGTATTCATAATAACAACTGTACAAAATTTGGAGCCTGTGGGTCTGTTAGAAGTACCTTAAAGATTTTATGATGTATGAGTCAGTCAATAATTCTTTAAATATTCATTCTTATTAGTTAAGCCGGTGCGCTTATCCACTACGCCACCGAGCTACTACTATGGTATAAGGAATAATTATTATTGCATTACCTACATCGTCTAGTTAGTATTGTACAGACCAATTGGTCTGCTAACAGCTGTTGATCTGTCAACCCGTAAAGGCAACATTTACGATTCAAATGAAAACGAAAACTTTTTCTATTACCAAGCAATCTGAAATTTAGTCGAAACCGAAATCAACTATGAAAAAAACTTGCAATTAAACTTAAAAACAACTTTCTTTTGAACATTATTTTATAAATGAAATTACGAGTACATCTATTATATAGGTTTTGGCATGTTTACTAGTTACCTGTGAGAAATGCGGGATTAATAGGTACATCGTTACTTGCACACTTGTGGTTTGAGAGGAATTGGTACTCTTCATATTGTTACATGTTCCAGACCAATAAGTTATTTGAAAATTGGAATCCAGGTGCGGATCCAGATATCTGTCAGGTCACTGAAACCCGAACGTCGGCCAAGTATGAAATATGAATCGATATCCTACGAATTAGATGATTAAAGAATAATTCATTCCATTAGGTGATCTTCTAACAAAATTATAGGTATTTAAAAAGAAAGCTCACCCTTTTTTGTCGATCGATTAAATGGATTTTCATAATAATATGTATGACGGCGGGTAGTCAGAAGGGGCTATTACGAAGCCCAAATAGATGGTCCATATCGGAGTACTATCTTTAAAATAACACTGCAGGCGTGTCTACCAATGTGGGCTTATACCATTTTATCACTTTTCATACGAAAATATAACGAGGAGAGCGTGATGTCTTCGGATGTTTTTACTCCTCGGCGATCGGAAACAGAATGCCTGCTAAAATGGCGGCAACTAGCTTTTCGTTAACGAACTGTCATCGATAAAAGTATCGATGATCACGCCCTCTCTACAATCGAGGAATTAAGTAATCGAGTAACTAGGAGTTAAAAAAAAAAAGAAACTAAATCAAACAATCTTCATAACGATGATGGAGATATTCTGCGACATGTATATTATATATTATGTTTATGTATATGTTAATATGTATGAACTTGCTTGTAATTTATTTTTAAGCTTTATTAATTGTGAGAACTCTTTATATATTATATTTATACCTCCCTCATGTTTTTCAGTTTTCGAACAGGTTGACAGGTAGAGAATGTTATTTTATTAGCATTAAGTCTGCCTATTGTACCATTAATTCGCTCTACAATAAAGTTTGATAAATATTTTTTTATAATGTTTATTTCAACTTCCAGTTTACAAAACCTTTTTATGTTTAATATTCCTTTGTTTGTCTACTACTACTACTAATCGCGACTACACATTTTTTTTTTGCTAAAGCTATCATTGAAAATATTCCTTTCTGTGTCTTTAAAAAAGGTTTTTATCACTTTATATTGTATGCCATCGTAAAGCAGAAAAGCCCGGTTTTGACCACTATACACAATTTGGCAATTCGACGCATTCAAATGTATTGACAAAAACATAACTTACTATAGACGTTTTTAAAAACTCTTGAAATGACCAAAGCCGGGTAAATAATCTAATATAATCAAAATTGCGTAATCTGCCTTATGTAGGTACTTCAAGTTCATGCCCTTGAGAATGGCATTAATTTTCATGTTTGACGCGTCTAATTATAATACGTCATTGGCGGCAGAATTCATTTCAGTGGAAGGCTGCACGCAACCTCGAATTCGATAATGTGACAACTAGCGTCACTAAAGTTATAAATATCTATTATTTTACTCACATTTATAAACGTTATCTAAAATATTACCTATCTTATATAGATAACTGAAACACATGCTTGCATTGGAAAAAGACTAACAATAGGGTATGAAAAACTGACAACTCCTTAGACAGTCCCAATTTTAATTATATGTTAAACCTATTTTTAATTTATATTTCACTGAAATTTTTCTAAACTAAAGTAGCGGCCAGATCAAGATAACAGTTTTGTGACTAAATAATTATTAACTACTAAATTGCGACAGGATTCCTAGTTATTATTAAACTACTGTATTAATATAGAAATATCAATGAAATTGTTACGTAATTTATGAAGAAATGTTTTTTGTAACTAGGATTAGTAAAACTGCTTTAATTATATCTCATCTTACTAATATCCTTTCTCTACTAATTTTCCTAAGAGCACACCACTAAATTAATATATACTTAGTATGCTTTCGAAGGTCTGTTGTTCTGGCTGTACTGTGTACGCTACGAACTTAAAAAGAGGACGCGTGTCATGCAACTTTATGAAAAAATATAGATTTTCGGATTGTAATTTATATTTTTCATCGCAACTAAGAAAAATTCATTATACTAAATACATACTAAAAAATATTCTTAAGGAAAAATGCTTAAAAGGCACTGAGATGGACACCATAACCTCGCAATACAAGCCACCCACGACCTTTTTTTTTGACGCTGAAAATGATATCCCTCGCTATGCACGGGATCGGCCCGAAGGCCATACACCGCGTGGTTCGCCCCCATTTCGGCCAACCTTGAAAAGAGCAGGTCCCGCCACGGGTTGGGTGTATGTCTCAGATTCGATTCGCCACAGAAGACTCTGCTGTGTCAGCTCCGAGGAGCAGACAGGGCGAGTCCAGCCGGTCGACGGGTCGCAATCCCTCTCGTCGCGCCGCGGCTACGGCGCTACCGAGGCCCAGTAGGCAGGTAAGTCCCCAGGTAAGTACCCACCATACTACTCCAGACTAGTACGGCGTATTGATGTGTGTATAAGATGAATGAATGTGTGTGTGAAAGTGTGTGTATGTTTGCGTATGTGTAACTGTGTATGCTTGTGTAGCTATGTGTATGTGTGTGTAATGTGCATGTCAGTGTGTGTAGACCAGGACCCCGACAGCGCCGCAGCCGCGGAGCGAAGGAAACTCCCTTCCCCGTTTCAAGGCACCTCCCAGGTACCTCTCACCCCGCAGCCACCTCTCCCTGTCCTCTCGCACTCCATCCATCTTGCCTGGCGAGAAGAGAGAACAGACGGCAACGAGACCGATCCGATCTGTGCACTTCACCCGAACTAGCCTCCAACTGCAAATATGCAAGCATATATGCATCTGCGGACACGCCCGGGACAGAGGACGCAGACTGGACCAAACGAAGACCCCGGGGTTGGGGAATCGACCTCACGACGGGTAGGCGCGCATAGCCCTGCCCCCCGTCCTACGACGGCAGCGAGAACCGGCAACTCGCGGGCTCTCTCCTTCTACGACAAAACGGTCTCGCAGAAGGAGGAGACCGCCGCCCAGGACCTGCTTACGACTAGCGTCAACGCGTATCGCTGCGAGGACCATGCACTGCACTCCCAGAGGATGTGACTTGCAGTGTCCTCCGCAGCGCCGCAATGGTGATACTGTGGTGTGTCCTCCAAGCAACTCACGACCTAATAGGACTGACGAATTCCTCGAGCACATGTTACTTTTTCGCTACCATAGAGCGTATTTTCATCAATGTTCAGGCAATCAACCCAAACAGCCGAAAAAATATTTTTACAAATATTTAAACTCTCGATAAAGGTGAAAATTTGGTCTTATAATTATATTTTATCAATTTTGTGTAATTTTTCACTAAGAATTCTCACCCCCAAACAACGTGATGCAATTCTCGCCTCTGTCTTTGCATTCAACAAAAAGAACGGAAGAGATAAACTATTAACACGTTATATGGCAGGTACAAGTAATCCAGTCTTCGTCTCCGACCATTTTTCACTCTCAAATAAGGCTTTACATTGTACTGGGTGCTCACGTGGGTGCGCAGTGGACGTAGATGTATAAGGAAGGATGAATTCAGTGAAGCAATGCTGATTTCACGCAGCATGGAGAGTTTGGTACTTATTGAATTTATTAGTGTTGTTGTGTGTTGTGAACCAATGTCGTTTTTGATCATTTTCAAATATCCGGGGTATCAGGACAAAAATTAGCAAAGTATACAACAATAATACAATAACATTTAAAATTAAAACTTCTGTGACATATTTTAAATATTGTGATTATTTTCTATGTTTTGCTGTTGGTGTACTTTATTATATATAAATTAATTAATAAATAAGAATACTGAGGACAATTTTAGATGGCACAAGTATTTTTTTATTATTGATTTTAAATACACATTAACAAATCAGTTACTATATTTTATGTTCTTATATGTTTGCTTACCCCGCAAAGATTTCGGCGTTAAATTCGAGTAGAAGATAAAAATATTTTTATTTTTTTTAATATTTCCTATTTTTTATAGATTTAATATTTTTATATATACGACAAAGAGAATTTACTAATATTTTTCCTTTATTTACTCAATGTAGTAAGCAAAAAGTATAGCTATTAAAAACCAACGAGTCCTCTCACAGTCTATATTTAGATCAGTGTTTGATAACCTTTTGTTTGGCGACCCGAAATTTAATTATCTTTCAAGTCCTGTATGTATTTATGAAAATAAATTTTGTAATAGGATAATGTAAAAGCATGTGGTTTGCTCACAGGGTCTATATAAAATTCCCGACTCTCATCCCAATACCGTGACCCGATTAATTGACGCAACCAGAGGTTCTAAAACTCTGACTAAGTATTGTATCAATTATTTAAAGTTTTTTATTTATTTCAGAGGCCCTACTCTATTTACTTTCTAACGAAAATTACGTAAACAAAGAGTTCTTTTAATTTTATTAAAGTAATATCCTTGAAAATTGTGATAAGAGGTAGTGTCAAATCTAATCTCCGTTGTATCATACATATATATATATATATATATATATATATATATATATATATATATATATATATATATATATATATATATATATATATATATATATATATATATATATATATATATATATTAGGGTGTCTCAGCCTACAAGGGGTAATTTTTTTTTCGAATTTCGGAACGCATACCCTCTATTTTTTTCCATTTGACTCCAAAAACTTAAATATAAAATATTATTGCGATCGGACAACAATATCCCGTGCCGACTTGACGTCAAAGTTTTTAGTTTAAAAATTAGTATGGAAGCTATAAGGAGATTGTAGAGTTTATTGTTTATTTCAGTAAAATAAACACAAATATAATATTTGATGTTTATTTGTAGTAAAAGAAGCATTAACCATTAAAGTTTTTTTATATGTTTCTGTGTTCTTGTACGCAACGTAATAAAAATTGTTTTTGCTCCTCTTCAACAGTGATTAAACCATGAAAATCTTGCATTAATTTAATTGCTCTTTCTGCCGTATCATTAACTGCTCTCAGTGTCAGCAGCTTCTTTTTAGCTTGTTGAAACGAATCATCATTTGACCAAGAAGAAGGGTTTTTGTTCAGGAAACTATCATCAATTTTGAATCGATTAAATAAGAACTTGCTTTTGACAGAGATGAAGTCATCGATACTTTTCTCTGATATCAAAATATTGTAGAATGAACGGTTAATAATCATATTCAGGCTCGTCTTAAGCACGACAGGCGCCCGGGTGCAAGTAGTGCTCTGGCACCCCCCAGCCCACTTTTTACACATATTTATATTAGAAACCATCATCAGCGCGGCGCCACCCAACGCGCGGCACCCGTGTACATTGCACACCCTGCACTATAGGTTAAGCCGCCCCTGATCGATCATATTGTATTATTTTTATATTAACAATATTACTATTAATCATAGAAGAAAATTAAAGCATAATTTACACAAAAGACATACCATAAAGTGGGCCACAAAATTCTTCTTTAGATGCAATGTATCGTTTAATATGGGCTGATGGGTTTTCTTTAGCTAAGTTAGCAACCATTTTAACTTTCGTTTCTTGATCGACTTCATCGTCAAATAAAGACAAAACAGACGCTTCATCTGTCAAGTACCATAAATGCTGGCAAAACTTCTGCAAAGCTGCTTTAGAAATGCTTTTGTCTATTGATTCGTAAGCTTTCATCGACTTCAAAAAGCACAAATCCTGATGTGGTGCTTTTACTGCTAAAATGCATTGGAGCTAGGGCTTGACGTAGGATGTCACGATAAACAAACATACGTCCAACAGTGCTGCTTTATCCCTATTTGAAATGTTGAACTGGGAGCTCAGTAATGATATTTTTAATGAATAAATGGCTCTCGCCATCCATCGAGCTTGGTGCATAGCACCTGGAGGCCGAATCTTAAATTTCTTCTCTGTGTCTCCACCGAGAAATATAATTGATAGCTCAATTAATTCGCGATAGTCGTCTCTAGCTATTTCTTTTATCAATTCAGATCGGTAGAATTCTATCAGTTTATTAATTTCTGAATCATTTAAACAAGATAGTTTTTCTCTACAGATTTCTATTTTCTGGGCATCGACATTCTTCCAGTTTTCTCGGAACTTTTTAAACAGCGGAATGTCTGGGCTTGTAGTTACTTGACTGATTTTCACTTCAAACACACTTTTTAAAACCAATTCGTAGACATGGTGACGGCATGCAAAAACAAGCATTTCTCTACCCAGTTTTTGTTCAAGAAGCACACATGCACCATTAATATGGCCTGTATTGGAAGCAGTAGTATCACAACAGAGAATCTGCACTCTGTCTTCAAGATTCCAGTCGATAATGGCATTCCAAACTGCCTGCGCTTCCTGATGAATTAACCAATTTTGGCACAGCGATAAGTTGTTCATTATTATCATATGATATAACTATCGGTAGACGTTCTTCTTTAGATTTACATGCATCTAAAGCCGGCAATAGTTTGCCATCCCAGTGGACAGTTACCGTATCCGGGACCTTGTTTCTGAAATTAATTTTTATAGCGTTAGCCCGCTTTCTTCGCATTTCTGTACGAATTCTATGGATTGAGGACTTGCTTATAGGAAATTCATCCGTATTATGCCCTAGTGCCTCAATAGTAGCTTCAATAATAAATACAGAATCTCTCACACTTAACTGACACCGATCAAGTGCGGCAACTAACTTCGGAGTCATGAAATTTTTTCGTATACAAATTTTATCTGGTTTGGAGGACATACCACTTGAGCTGGACCTATTTTCTTGTAAAACTGTTATTTCAGAATCAGAAGATGATTTTCTTTGTGGATGTTCATAAGATGATGTTGATGGTGCTAATGATGAAAGATATTTAGCACGTCGCTTTTCCTCCTCAATGTGTCTAAGGCGCGTCTTTTCTTCTTTTTCTGTTAATTTTTTGTCCACTCCGGCTAAGTGACCAGGCCGACCTGGTTCTCTTTGGCGCTGCAAGAAAACTCTATCTTCATTTATTTTTATTAACTGAAGCGCATCGACATGAGCAATGTCAAACAGATTGTTTAAGTTTGAAAGAAATTCTTGTCGACGCTGTTTAAATACATCTTGTGTTTTTTTTTCGAACTTTTTTGCAAATCTCTCCAAATTTGGTATAATGAAACTAGTTTCTTAACACAATTAGGTAATGATTTAGTCGGTATACGTGCCTTTTCCCAATAAATAATGCACTCACGAATAGTAAGATTTGCACTTTCATTGATACATAAATTCACTTCACGAATATTATAGAACAGAACTGCCAGTACTTGTCCATTAGAGGGAAGTTTCGATCCGGTGATTTGATATTTTATGTCGCCTATTAAAAAAATCTCCTTTCTGGAACTCCGTAACTCTACAAACATATTGACTGCTCAATAATAATGCGATTACTAATAAAACAAACAAGTAATAACATGCAATCAGTGCGAGATTTCCGTATCGCCATCGTACATCGTACAAGTACAGACACGATTGTATCGATGCAAGTCGGCACGGGTTGCGATGATCCTAACTTCCTCAAACTTTATTTTTAAATGTTTTGAGAGCATTCAAACAAAATAAGAGGGTATGCATTAAAAAAATATGACTTTAATTTTTTTGGGACACCCTAATATATATATATGATCAAAAAATATGTTTCTGGAGTTTAGAAAAGAGAAGAAATTTCGTTTTTGGAGTAACAGAGTAGGCCTTCAGGTTTGTTACCTCTTATAACTTTGTTTTAATCATCAAACTCAAAAATGCCAATAAAAATATACGTCTAAAATAATCATTAGCATTTTCAAGTAGTATCTACATGAACGTTACGTTTATTTTTACATGGTGTAGTTTTATAACCTTTGACCTTAACCTACTTATAATAGCAAAAGGGGGAAGTCTAAAGCCCGACCGCCACGATGTAATATTTCGCGCGTGGAATAGAAATAAAAAGCTTATAGGTACATTATATCATTCGGCAACTTGTGATCAATACCAAACTTGGAATTTCATAATTAAATTGATATTTTGAGTACAGTACCGATGTAGTTTTGGTTTTATTGTTCTTTTTTCTAGTGCAGCAAAAGAAAATAAAATACTCATAGAACTAATATTATGATTGTATTAATAACAATATATTATCATAAGTTCAATGATAAATTATTTCTTACATAATTTACAATTGAACTAAATTTCGTGTACACTTGTTTAACTTTGAACAGATTTAAGAGTTGACATCAAAAATTAACTATTTTAACTAGTTTTGTAGAAAAAATAACGTGAGATATAAGCTGTAATTAAGAATAATTAAACTTATAAGGATTGTAATGTAGTTATAAAGTGTTTTCGAGAGAAAAGAAACACTGATTTATCCGTGATATTTACAAATCATTAAGATTTATTCTCGTGACTATATTCTTCTTTATAATATGAAACATTGGTAATAAATATGAAAGTAAGGCTATTGCTGCAATACCAAAATCATAATAGTATGCGAGGCATCATCACTTGCCTATTAATTTCCCCACTTCTGGGACATAGACTTT